AAAAAAAAAAAAAAAAAAAAAAAGTCGAGATAATTGAATTCAATTTTATTCACATCAATAGTGCTCTCTCTCTTGTCAAACAAAACACATGGCAATGCTTTACACCAATAATTTCAAAAACTATTATAAAAATAAAAAAAAAAAAAAAAATTACTGCAGCATTCAAACTTCTTGGAAAATTCGATATTGCCCCCAGGAGAAGCGTAGTCCGTTAAGGGCCGTTGATTTCACACACACATATGTGGTCGTGTGTCTATTTGTGGGTAAATCAACGGCCTTTAGGGACTGACTGCACTGCCTCTATGGACAGCATTGGGATTTCCCTTCAAATTGTTAGTTTATTTGGGAAGGAACTTCGATTATATGTAAATTCAATTTAAATCTAATCCAACTTAACTATGTTCAATATTTAAATAATATCAACTAATTACTACTATGCAATTTTCAATAAAATTTACTATTCTTCACTCACACATATTATTAAATACTAAGAATATACAGTTATTATTTTACTACATTGTATCAATTTTAATCATTACATTTTACCTCGTTCACGAATTGAAATTCCAAACCAAGTGTCCACCTAATAAAAATATTTTTCGCTTCCAACTTATTTTATCCAATGAATAAAATTCAAACTCAAATCAAGTGTAGGGATAATCAGGCTCGAACTGATGACTTCCAGCACAAAAAAATAAACAAATAAATCATGTTTTTAATTGCACATACGTCTCTTAAAGGGGTGATTGGAAATAAATATTATTGGGTTTGATTGGATTTATTAGTTAAAATGCAAAACTAATTTTGTATAAAATTGATTGAATGAAATTTTGAGTTTGTATTTAATTAATATTTAAAATTTAATAATTAAAATCGATACTGATATGGGATATTATATACCAGACCGGTTCTATGGGGCTAATCGGGGAAAACAGACCGGTTCGTTGGATTACCTAAATAAGGCGGGACGATATGGTCGAACCAGACCAGACACCTGAAGATAGAGAGCAGGCAGCAGGGACTAATGGGATCAGAAGTGGTCGACAGATGCGGTTACTCGAGGAGTTGGTCGAGGGAGGACGCTCGGATAAGGCATGGTCGTACAGAGTTGCTCGAACAACAGAGCGCATAAGGGAATCTCCAGCACGTGAAAGGGGAGACACGCGGCGTCCTATGAGTGGCTTATGGCTATAACAAACTCTGACATTCTCTGACAAAGGGGACACGTTTCCTGACGTCAAGGATAGTGGAGGCGCGCGGCCGTACGGACGAGCAGAGGACAGCTGGCCGAACTCGCCATACTTGCGTGTAGAACAGGTAGCTCGCCCTTATAAGTAGGGACGAGAATCCTCACTTTGAACACGATCTCATATACTCTTACATTTTTCCACACACATATATTATTCCTCAAGATCTGACTTGAGCGTTGGAGGCTCTTCACCGGAAAATACCTCCGGTGTGGGAGTTTCGTGCAGGTTCCGTGTTCAACCGGCGAGGAGAACAAGCT